GTATGTGGCCACTAAGGCATGTGGTCTTCATGGTGTGACCCAGGGCCTGTGACCAGTATGACATACGGCCTCCAGCTATTCTGAAATTGGATAGCTAGCTGTAGGCAGTGATGCAACTATGGGGGTAGGATGGAAGGGGGAGGCAATAGGGGCAGCTTTCCCCAGTGGCAATTCAGGGGGGTGGAGCAGAGGCACGTTTTTTTGTTCACATTCATGATCATGAACCTGTAGTTGCCATTTCTGCTTTGTTCCAGGCCCCCATCTTCATCTCTTTACTGCTGGTGGTACCTTGCGTGGTTTACAGATATAATGCAAAAGAAAAATATGTTTTACATGACATTTTCCCTCACACCATAACAAAATATTAAATCAACTGTGTATGGTTTGAGTTATTTTGAAGTGGAATTCTGGTCTTGTGCCTAAACTCAATTCTGCTTTGTGTAAATACAGTTGTTGTCAATATGCTGACTTATAGCAGAGCTGAGTTTGGCCTTTACGAATAGGTAGTAAAATAGAGGTATATCCAACCTCATAAATAACATTCAATATAATATTCTGTTTTTAGACATGGCTCAGCATGGGTCAGCCAAAGTCTTTCTGGATCTCTGGTTTCTTTTTTCCTCAAGGATTTCTGACAGGTAAAAAAAAATATGAATGGAAGTAGTCTGTAAGAATAACATGTTGTATTTACTGTTACTTGCTTTACCAAATAGACCCCCTAGGACTTTCTTCTTCATTTACACATAGCTAAAAACAGCCCTTTGAGTTACTAGTAGTTCTTCTGAGCTACAATCAGCTGCCTAATAAGGATTGCCAGCCGTAGTAGAACGCTATCCCAAATGAGACATGCAAGAGTGACCGGTATTCCTAGATCACATCAAGGAAGGGAAGATATAGCAGTCACTTCCTACTTATCATATCCACGTTACTTATTTAGCTGTCATAAACTAAGAAAGGAAAATTAAATCTGAAACATTTTTAGCAGGTAAATGCCGATTACGTGAACAAGCACCCCATTTGTTCCCGCTGAAGTTAATCCTTTCATCCTTTGATTGAGTATGCTCCTCAACTTAGGCATTGACCAGATAGTACTGGGAGCAACCAAGAAAAGATGTGTCTGTAACCTACTGATTACAGCGAGGCCTGAAGAACAATGAGTCCAGTGTTTAGTCCTCACTCACAGCAGCATTTATGCTTTTTACATTAAAAAGTCATTGGTTTAAAAAGCAGAAATAAGCCTGGTCAGAGAAACCAGATCCTTGGGCTTTCCCCTGTGTGAGCAGTACTGTAACCAGGTGGCTATAGAGTCAGGACCCCGCCCCCCCCTTGTTTGCTCTAGTTCTTACCCCATTGCTACTGCACTTTTGCCTGCCTCATGAACCAGCTTCAAGGGGCGACCTGGAGAAAGTGCTCTTATGCAGCCTGTTCTGTAGCCTGGTGGTGGTTAGGGCACAGTCGTGGGAAAGATGTGGGTTTGAATCCTCTTGGGGCAAGACAGCCCTAGAGCCCATAACTCGGACTTCCTGGGTGCTCTGTCTCTAGTGCATGCGTAACCACCAGGGATGATATCAGAGCAGCCTCACTGGCATATATTTGAGTTTGGCATATGCAGGTGGAAGTGTAGGGAAAATGTGCAGCTGGACCTGTGCAGAACATGCTGCTATTATGGATGGGATAGAAGTAATATTTCAATCTGCCTCTTGCTGTGATGACCAGGCACAGTGGAGTGCTGCCTTTCCTGGTCCTGTCCTCTCACTGAAATTCTTGTAGAGAGAAGCTGGAGAGGGTCTCTCTGGCATAGCTTTGTAGGAAAAGGAAAGAAAGAGGGACAGCAACTAGCATTTTTTTTTTCTTTTGGCAAAGAGCCCAAGATGTCATCGACTTAGCTTGCTCCTTCTTTTTAAGGCTCTAACTCTATTAATATCCCAGAAAACTGAAGATGAGAGGAGAGAAAATGCACGTAAATGAATGCAATTGCAATTAGACAGACTAGTTTTTGAGTAGTCACAAAAAGCCTAGGGAGGAGTGATCATTGTCGCAGTCTGTCATTATTACTGAGAGCATAGTAATTGCTCCATTTCTTTTATTACAGAGTAGTGCTAATAATGGTAACATTAGGATTACTCCCACTTTTCTGTCACTAAAATATAGGGCTTCAAATACATGTGTACATGTATTGTGCCTTTCAGGCATTTCAATATTTTTCAGATAATAGACACCACTGAGGGAGCATTATCTTAGCTTTCAGTTTTCTCATTTATATATATGGGTAGTAGAGCCAAGCAAAAATCCGAATTTCCACCTCAGAGAAAATTTAGACATTTCCACATTTGAATTATCCCAAAGCTTGATGAAAAGTTGAAATATCTTCTTTTTTTTCAGAACAAAAGTGCTGAAAAATGTCAGTTGACTGCAGAAAGCATTCTGGTATTCCTGAACCAAAGTATGTCATTTTGGTTTGTTGAACGGACTTGAGGCATTTTCTTTCAGGTCAGTTCAACATTAGGCTACATCCCCCAAAGGTGGCAACTTTGTACATAACCATCGGGCACAATGCACAAAACTTCAAAAATACCCTTTAACTTGCCATAGGTAGAGCAGGCAAACGAGGGCACTGTCAGTCCTGCAACTGCAACTGCAAGGACAGGAAGTCGTGTTAAAATACTCCCAGGAGATCTAAGGAAGAAGACCATGCTCCCCACTACAGAGGAAAGTGAAAAGCCCCACTGTCTGTGCCAATATGACTGTGTGGTAAAATTCCTTCCCAGGTCCAAATGTTGTAACTGGTCTGACCCTGAGTGGAAGAGTAGGGTCTTTAGCCAGGAACCGCTGGGTATTTTAAGTCCCAGAAGCAGCATCAGCATACACCAGTCAAGGCAAAAAAAATTAAAAATATTCTGACATCTGTAGTAATAGGAAGAGAAAAAATTCCTTCTTGCTCCTCCATGGTGACCAGATAACCAGACATCCTCCACTCTGCACTGCAACCTGCAGACACAAACTCCACAAATCACACAACCTGACAGGAGAATCAAAACTCCCTTTTCTGTCTTCCTAGCCCCTCCATAAATTTATTCTAACTCCTTTCATCTTATTTTTTAAGGAACCTAGTTGTGGAGCTCTGCTTCATTCTCCTGCTGCTACGTGCAGTCCTGTCCGATTTCCACTTGGTCTGAACTGCACAACTCTTCTCCGCTCTCCAAGTGATGTGTTTGTGGGGATCTCCTGGGGTTGCAACTCTTGCTTTTCACAGCATATTCCAGGCATTGTTATTTCTAAATTAGCCCTGACCAATACTTATCAAACCTTTTCTTGAAAACACCCAGTGAAGGACGTTCCACAATTTGCCTGTTTGATTGTTCTAAGAGTAAAGAACATTTTCCTGATATGCAGTCTACATTAATTGTGCTTCAGTTTCAAGCCTACTATGCAGCCTTCTTTCTGAAGTGATGGCGGGGGGGGGGAGTTTCTCTCTCTCCTTTATGGCAGTCTTTTGAACTGACCTGAAATTAATTATTTATTTTAGATTTTTTTCAAATGGAAAATCAAAAACATTTAACACACTATTTTCTAGTAGAAAACTTTATTTTTCAGAAAATTCTTTTTTTTTCACAGTAACCAGACAGAAAATTCAAAGGCAGTTCTAAAGATAGCAAAATATTGACTTGTTTCAATTTTATTCTAATGACCATGCAGGCATCTCTGTTCCATCAATGAGATGTGCGCTGTTCCTCCCTGTACACCCCCCCACCCTTTTAAGTATTGGTTTAGAGTATATCTTCTTTTTTTCAAATTTTCCAGGAACGCTTCAGAATCATGCTCGGAAATACAATTTGCCAATAGATGAGCTCAGTTTCAGCTACAATGTTATCCCTGTTTATCGAGACCAAGCACACGTTACAGAAGCATTAAAAATGAGCCAATTTGGGCAAGAATTACCTATGGATATGGAGGTACTTTTGACATTTATTAGCACTAAAAATAAAAGACTTTGCATTTTTTATTTGTTAGGTATCTGTCAAAAAATGGCATTGATACTACATAAAATCATAATTTTGTATATTACTGAACTTCAAGCTTTATGTCATGATTCCCCGTAAGCTTATGAAAAAACAAATGTGAACATTTTTTCATAGTACATTTTTCCACAGTCTCTTTTAAAAGTTTCTGAGTCTTTATTTTTCCCCTCCCCCAAAGAGGAAGGCTCTTTCCAAGCAGGACGCTTCATCCCTCTTTGAACCTTTGGTTCTTTTTTGTTTGTATTTGTAACATTTTCCCCATTCTTTTTCACTTGCTGATGCTTATGCCAGTTACCCTCTCCTGAAGATGGTGTATTGGTTCATGGGATGTTCATGGACGCTAGTCGCTGGGATGATGAAGAGATGGTTATAGAGGATGCTTTGCCTAGGCAAATGAATCCTATGTTGCCAGTGGTGCATTTTGAACCCCAACGAAATTATGAACCAAGTCCGTCTCTGTATCAGTCACCACTCTATAAAACTGGAGCCAGAGCAGGAACGCTCTCCACCACAGGTAATTAACTGTTTCTTTAAAATGACATTTTCTTACCAAATCTTAGTTTCATAGTTTCTAGGGTCGGAAGGGACCCGAACAGATCATCAAGTCTGACCCCTTGTCCTGGGCAGGAACGAGTGCTGGGATCATAATACCCCAGCCAGATATCTATCCAACCTCCTCTTGAAGACCCCCAAGGTAGGGGAGAGCACCACCTCCCTTGGGAGCCCATTCCAGAGCCTGGCAGCCATAACAGTAAAGTTATGCCTCCTGATATCAAACCTGAACCTGCTCTCAATCAATTTGTGGCTGTTATTCGTTGTTATCCCAGGTGGTGCCCAGGGGAACAGATCCTCACCTATTTTCCACTGGTCCCCCCTGGTGAGTTTATAGATGGCCACCAGTTCCCCTGTCAGTCTTCTCTTGTGGAAGCTGAATAGATTCAGGCCCTTTAGTCTGTCTTTGTAGGCCCTGGCCTGCTGCCCCCTGACAATGCAAGTGACCCTCCTTTGGACCCTCTCAAGGTTAGCCACATCCCTCTTGAAGTGTGGTGCCCAGAACTGGACTCAGTACTCCAACTGCGGCCTGACCAACACCGCATAGAGGGGAAAGATCACCCTGGACTTGCTTGTGATGCATCTGTAGATGCACAGCAAGGTGCAGTTAGCCTTACTGACTGCTTCCTCGCATTGGCAGTTCATGTCCATTATGGAGTCAGCAATGACTCCAAGATCCCTTTCAACCACTGTGTTGACAAGAAGGGTGTTCCCCAGCCTATAGGTATGTTGCAGGTTCCTTCTTCCTAGATGCAGCACCTTGCACTTGTCTGCAGTGAATTCCATCCAATTCTCATCCTCCCACCTCTGTAACCTGTCTAGAACTAGCTGGATTCTGTCCCTCCCCTCCAGTGTGCCCACTTCTCCCCACATCTTTGTCATCAGCGAATTTGGACAGCATGCTTTCCACACCTACCTCCAAGTCGCTGATAAAGATGTTGAATAGCACAGGCCTGAGGACTGAGCCCTGGGGAACTCCACTGCCCACATCCCTCCAGGTCAAAAACGACCCGTCCACCACCACTCTCTGGGTGTGACCATTTACCACCCATCTGACTGTGTAGGCATCAATGCTGCCGTTGCCTAGTTTTTTGTATAATAATGGGGTAAGAAACAGTGTCAAAGGCCTTCTTGAAGTCCAGGTCGACAACATCCACCTCAGCGCCCGCATCCAAGGACTTTGTGACCTCGTTGTAAAAGGAAACAAGGTTAATCAAGCAGGATCTGCCCACGGTGAATCCGTGTTGTTTGCCCCTGAGAATTACCTCCCATGCTGGGCCCCTGCAGATGTGACATCTGATATATATATTATGGAGAGCCTGACTATTTGAGTGGTCAGACCAAAACTTGTCCTGGAATATTTGGTAAAAATTATGTCCATGGGTGTTTCAAAAGGAAATATTCCCTAAATTTGTGGTAGGAGTTCTTACTTGACCTTTTGATTGTTTATCACAACAATTTGGTTTTTCCTTTTAAGTTATATTTTTGGATGAGTCCTGGGGCAGATGTGGAATTGCTATAAAATAATCTAAGAAGACTGAAGCAGAAGAGATGTACCAGTCCTGTGGGAGTGGCTGAAAGCAGCTGAAGCGCTCCCTGGCTTCCTTGTAGCATGCCCATGTTCAGTCTTAGGGAAACACTGGGAAACACTTACTGTTTTTGGATCTGTTCTCTGAAATTTCCTTGTTCCAAATAAATAATTCAGTGACCAGAATCTTCATTAGCAGAGAGTTAAAGATGTTCAGACCTTAAACTTTTTCAAAAATGCAAACTTATGAAAGAGGTTATTAACACTTAAGGTATTTCATACTCAAATCTCTGAAAACCAGGAAATAGTGAGTCAAGGTACACAGAGCCTTAACTCTGCCCCCACCATCCCAAAGGTGGCAGTAGCCAAAAGGAATTTTTTGCAAATACTTTGGCCACATCTACTGTTTGGTGTGTCTCTACTGAAAAATGAAGGTATTAGTAGTTGGAGCAACTTGGCAGAGCTGTAATTGGCATGTATTGGCAGAGCACCATCCCATGAGTGCTTTTGTACCCGACCTCAATGTGTGATCAAAGCAAAGATATATGCAGATGTCCCTTCAGCGATCCAATACGCCTCATTTCACTGCTGCTTTATATAAGTTGTGTCAGCACTGAAGACCTAAGGTCTGCTTGCCATGGCAGTTAGAAAGAAGATAATTGGAGTTTCTAGATTTAATGATGGGTAAATGAAAATATAATGTTTCATGGTACCAGGTACATAAGTGTGCAAGGATGACAAACCACCAGCAAACTTAATTTTTTGTTAATTTAATTCAATTTTTAATTTTTGTCATAAATTTGATAGAATTTTTTATTAATTAAAAAATCAGTGTTTCTGTTGGCATTAGTGATCCTGCATAGTTTGTACCTGAGGTGAGACAGAGGCAAGGGGAAAGTAAAAGATCATATATAATTGTTAAAGTTTTTCCCCCTTTTTGTGACAGTGATTGTGACAATGGGGCTTGTGGTCATACGTGAAATAGCAGATTGTGTTGTTGCTAGCAGGTGAATGAGAGATTACAGGCATGGTCTGTGTCCTCAGATCTTGTCTGTTTTCTAACATGGTGGGCACAGTAACTTTATGCATGTGGAAGGCAACTTGTATGCATCTTTTCTTCCCTGCTCCCCTTCCAACCATCCTTCACAAGAGATAGTTCCCATGTCACCACACTCAAGGCTTAGCAATATGTATGTGGTTCATGCTTTCAGCTCTCCACACAGAGGAATAAATATGTACTTAAAAGGGCAGAGCCATCAGATTGCAGTTGATAGGGTCAGCAAAGAGAGTAGTTTAGGCATTCACAGAGGAAGAAAGACCCCTCTCTCCCAAAAACTACTTTAAATGAAGGAGATAGGGTGAGAGAGAGAGAATCAGATAGGGTGAGAGAGAGAGAATCAGTCCCTCTGTAACCAAGTTCATGCTCCAGGGGTCGCTGGAGCACCCCCTGCTGGCCATTCAACCTGTACGCTGCTCCAGATCTTTGGTGCTTTCCCCTTCTCACTCACCTGCCATGCCTTTGATATAATTATTTGATTGGAAGGGAGGCTGCCTAATGGGTCCTACAGTGAGCCCCAGTTCCTCTGATAGCCAGCAGGTCCCTCCTGGACTCTGCTGGTCTCAGTCCTGTCCTTGTTGAGTGGGCACTCTCGGCCCGTCCATGCCCCAGGGCACCTGTAAACCTTAAGGGCTAATTACGTGGCTCTGACTTCCCTTTACACCATGCCCATGCCTTGCATGTGTCACTCTACCATCACTCAGGTGAGACACTAGTTCCCCAAAGCCACCAGGCAACCTCACCTTGCTGGGGCTTCCGTCTTCTCAGCTTCTGCCCCTTGACTTTATAGTTTCATAGTTTCTAGGGTCGGAAGGGACCTGAGCAGATCATCTAGTCCGACCCCCTGCCATGGCAGGAAGAGCACTGGGGTCAAACGACCCCAGTAAGGTGGTCATCCAACCTCCTCTTAAAAACCCCCAGGGTGGGAGCCTGCACCACCTCACTTGGAAGCTGGTTCCAGACTCTAGCCGCCCTGACCGTGAAGTAGCGCCTCCTGATGTCCAACTTAAACCTTCCCTCCGCCAGCTTGTGACC